AGAAACTTGACAATAATAGTATATTTCCCACCCAATGAATATTCTACAGGGTCTACTGAATGATGTAGAAACTAGAAAGCATGATGTGTGGCTAAATTCATAGCTTACTCTACATGGCCAAAGTATGAGGTGCCAAAGATGTTAGCCTTTCAACTCATTCCTTAACCTCCAGTATCTTTTAGCATTATTTAGTCATGCCAAAGTATACTATGCTTTAACTTCACTCCTACTCAAAAATGCATAAAACCTCCCCCTCTAAACCCTTTCTACAATGTCCTCATCATTCTGTTGTGCATTAACTCTTTCTTCCCACCGTTAAGCTCCATGCTCCCTTCAGGAATAATGAAGCCTCACAGAGGAAAGCTTCCTCTCCCCATCCTTATCATCACGACCTGTATTCTTGTTTTTGTGGCTATCTTGTATGCAGAGAGACTCAGTTTCCTCTCTTCCAAGTCCATTTTCAAGTTCAAACAATGTCCTAGAAAAACCACCAAACAAAAGTCTAGTAAGTCAAGTGCCACAACTATATGCCTTATCTCATCTTTGTTATATTCTAATGCAATGATATATCATATCGCGATTGTTCTAGCAGGTGATAGAAAAGCAGCTGAGGAAGTTGTGGTTGTGAATGCAAATGCAAATGCATCATCATGGATTGATGACAGGTTTGATTTTGACCCCGAGGAGTGCAATGTTGCCAATGGAAAATGGGTTTTTAACAATTCAATAAGGCCTCTCTACTCTGATATAAGCTGCCCCTATGTAGATAGACAATTTTCTTGTGTTACGAATGGGAGGAATGATTCTGACTATCTCCATTGGGAGTGGCAGCCAGAGGATTGCACCTTACCACGGTAAGTTTCACACCCCATCATGCCAATTGTAATTGTAGAACTTGTTTTACGTGTGTCTACTTTTAGGTCATAGATATGTATGACTAGTTTATGTAACCCACATTCCAAAATGACCATATTTTGCAGTTTCAACCCAGAGCTAGCCCTCAGAAAGCTTCAAGGGAAAAGGCTTCTATTTGTGGGGGATTCACTGCAACGAAACCAGTGGGAATCTTTTGTCTGCTTGGTACAATGGGTCATACCTCATAAGCAGAAATCTATGAGACTAGGGAGAGTTCATTCAGTCTTCGAAGCCAAGGTATTGATACATTGAGTACATGGCCAAAGATGTTGACTCGACTCAATCAGCTATTAACTTAAGAACAAGACTAGAGATGCAATTTCAAGTGTTTTTTTTTTATTCTTTGATCAACATTGGAGTTTTGACTCAATAATATATGTAATAAATGATTTTATTAAATTTTAAAGTGAGTTAAAACTCCAATTCTAATTATAGAATAACACCAAAAGCACATATGAAATTGCATCTAAGTTTTGTGCTTAATTTGATTAGAGGCTCCTCTAACTCTCAATTATGTAATTAACACACAATAAAAGCTATTATTATTAGGAATTGTTTCAAATAAACACACCAACACCAACTCTTAGACATCAAGCTGCCCACTTGAAAACTCGAACTCATTCTTTTTGTATCTGTGCTTTCACAGGAATACAATGCTACTATAGAATTCTACTGGGCCCCCTATCTTGTGGAGTCCAACAGTGACATTAACATCATAGATGTAAAGAAAAGGATAATAAAAGTGGATGCTATAGCTGAAAGAGCCAAAAACTGGACTGGAGTGGACATCCTTGTTTTCAACACATACGTATGGTGGATGAGTGGTGTTAGGATTAAAACACTGTAAGCTTTCTCTGATACTCATTACTAAGAATTTGTTTGGCTATAAGCTTAGAATAACTTTTGAGAGATTTTCTGAAGGAAAAAACTCTATCTATTAAAGCTATCAAAAACTTTTTTAAACTTGTATTTAAATAGGCTCTAAATCAGCGTAAAATGTGTCATTGATCTTCTTCTGTTGTTCATGACAAATATTGAATGGTCTCTTGCAGCATTTGATCTTAAACCAGAAGCAAAAATACAGTGCTTAACTTGTAGTTTATGAATTTCAGATGGGGTTCATTTGCCAATGGACAAGAAGGGTATGAAGAATTTGACACCCCAATTGCTTACAAGTTGGCTTTCAAAACGTGGGCCAACTGGATCGACTCAACCATCAATCCAAACAAAACCCGGGTCTTTTTCACCACTATGTCACCAACACACACAAGGTCTCCAGCTTAAGAAAACTTCAATCAAGTTCAACTTTTTATAGCAACAACTTAAGCTATAAGCTAAGTCAAGTAGTTTTACGTCAGTAAGGCCTTGTTTGCACATATAAAACTTCTCAACAAGCACTTAAATGAGAAGAAAATAAGAATTAAGTTTCTTCTATATAAGTTAAATTTTTTACTTATGGGAGAAACATAATTCATTTTACCTTCTTATTTTCTTCTTCTGTGAGTTTTAATGAAAAGTTTATCTGAAAAAGACCTGTAAGTATTTATTGAGAAATTTATCTGACGAGAGCTAAAAGACTAAAATGGTTAAGATTGTAACAAATGAAGTGTGTTATTCTTCAGAAGCCAAGACTGGGGCAACATGGAAGGAGTGAAATGCTTCAATGAGACAAAGCCAGTGAGGAAAAAGAAGCACTGGGGAACTGGCTCTGACAAGAGAATAATGAGTGTGGTGGCCAAAGTGGTGAAGAAAATGAAAGTTCCAGTGACATTCATCAACATAACACAGATATCAGAATACAGAATTGATGGACACTCCTCAGTTTACACTGAAACTGGAGGGAAACTTTTGACTGAAGAGGAAAGGGCTAATCCACAAAATGCAGATTGCATACACTGGTGTTTGCCAGGAGTTCCAGATACGTGGAACCAAATACTTTTGGCTATGTTATAACAAAAACAAACATCTTGCACAAATATCCATGCCTTTTCTTCTTCCTTTTTTTAACTATTGTGACATGAAGATGTCAACTATTTTGTTTGTGTACATTCATGTTGAAATACCATTTGTGTGATATAAATATAAATGTCTAATTTTAGTCAAATTTATTGGTTAAGTGATCATAATGTCTCCCCTGAAACATGAAAGAAGTCGTTTTAGTACTTACAAAACTGATTCTCACGATATTAAAATAATTCTTGATAGACAAAAGTTTTATTTATACGAATATTAATTCTTAATTATCATTAATGAGATACTACATGTGCTTGCGTGATATAGTTGACATTAGAGTACGTGACACAAAAAGGGTCACATTGACACATACACGGAGTCATCTGACTTCTCCACAGCAAAACTCTGTTATCACAGTAAATGCAAATTTCATGGCTTAAGACCAAATGTCACAACTTGTCCCCTCTGCCTGAAATTTATGAAGAAAAAGAAGTCTGTCACTGATTTTATTTAAAATAAGAAAAGGTGGAAAGTGAATCTTACGACAACACTAATATATTCATAAAATAGTTACCTTATAATTAATTATATTATTATTAATAACTTGGAAAAAAAATATATTAAATAGAGGTTTGAAATTTATTCGAGAGTTAAGCAATTAAATTTTGTTAAAAATATCGTAAATTTTTAGATATGATTGACCAAGTTGTCTCGGCTGAAATAACCTTTTAAAAAAAAAGTTATCCCAACTAAATTAGTCTTTCTGAATCATGGTTATTTCAAAATTCATGTTAAAAACTTATAAGATATGTATCTAAAATATATTTTAGAATAACAAAGTTTTTATAAGGTTATTACACACAACTTCAAAATGATGAGATATTGTCCATTTTGGGACTAAGCTCTTACGGTTTTGTTTTGTTTTTGATATCACCCAAAAGGTCTCTCTAATATTGGAGTATATGTATGCTTTATAAGTTGTTATTTTTTCTCTTATTTTATCAATGTGGGACTTGTTTGTATCCTAACACAATTTTAGATTTTCTATTAACTCTATTTGTTCCTTAAATTCAATTCTTATCAACAAGTAACACAACATGACTCACCAAAGATTAAAGGTTTATCAATTTTTATACATATAAATAATTGTCTTCTATAGAGAAAGAGTAAGAGTTATAAAAAGGATGCGAACAAAATGTGAAACATTGATTGAAGTCAATGAGATGCATTTGAATGAATTAACATTTTTAAAATTATTATTTTTTCTCTTAATGAATTAGAATTAAAAACAATTCTTTACACAAATAACGAATAAGAAAATGATAAGATTGAAATGGTTGAAGTGTGATATATTAAAGTGAGACATTAATGTCATGTTTATGTATTATAACCATTGAACATTAATTTTTTTATCATATTAGATAATATAATCTTTTTTATATTACAAATTTTGCTTATTTGTGGAATTTTTTTATACAATTACTCGTGTTTATATAATTATATACATGTTTTTAAAATCTATTGATGTATCATTACCCTAAATTTATGAAAAATTGTGTATTTTGCTCTCATACTCAATTCTGATATCATATCCTATCCATGTAACATAGATTAGCCTTTTATTTAAATTTAGAAATGTATGTAACAATATAAAATTTCACTATATAATAATAAATTAAATTGTGTCAACTAAAATGACTCTAAATGAGAGTTGATAATTTATCAAGACTAAATGAACTATTTAATTCAAACAGATAAATAAATAAGATTACAAGTTTTTTTTAGCATTGTATTACGAAATTTTTTTTATAAGAACATATATGATGTTCTTTAAATAACTAACCCACTTTATTTTTTAAAAATAATTTATATATGTCATTATAATTTTAAGCAACTTATTCAATTTTTCAATTCAATAAAAATTTCTATTAACAAGTTCCTTAACTCATAAATATCTTTTTTTTCTTTCAATTTAACATCTCATATTCTCTCTCTTATTCATACACGTAAATTTAATCAACTCATAAGGAATGATTAATTAATACCAAATATTATTAACCTTTCTGCCAAATACACATGAAATTTTGTATAGAAAATCAATTAATAAAATAATATTGCCAAATATTTACCTTTCTGCCCAAGAAAGTGTAGTCACAACAAATATAAACGAAACTCAAGGTTCGGGCTTGGCCCTTCGCCGCCATTTTCTGGTTCCAGAACCATCTTCAATCTCTCCTCCTATTACGATCTCTCGATCAAGGTTTGGTATTAATATTTAAAACCCAATTATATTTCGTCTTTTTTAATTCTCAGCTCGCGATTTCTCTTCTCAAACCCTACTTTCTGTTCTTCTTCTCTGTTTCTCTGTTTGTTTCCCACCCGAATTAAAATAAGACAGGGTAGGGAAAGAAAACTTGGGGCTTGTCGATTACTACCTGAAAAGTTTTTATTTGGGGGCTCTTTTGCAATTTTTGCATATTGGGTAACGTTGGAATCGTTTGCAGTTTGAAGCTTAGAAATAAACATGGCCGGTGGTGCGAATTTCATGCAGAGGGTTCTCTCTTACGTCGTCAATGAAGTGGTTGTCAATGGTCTTGCCAACAAGTACGTGTTGCCGCCGCATTTTTTTTTTAATTTTTATTTTTCCCTTTGTAGAATTTCGATTTTGATCTATGCGTGATTTTGAAACTCTGTTCTGGGGATAGAAGAAAGTGATATAGAGCCTCAAAATTGAGCTTTTTCCTTTATTGTTATTGATTGTCACCGGGGCAACATGGTTGCACTGGAATTTTAAGAGGTTTGAAACGTTTCCTGCGTGGGCGCATATATAACCTTAATAATTGGTGCTGTGAGGTTTGTTTGTATTAGTTTTTTCCTGTGCTGATTTTTATAAATTTTTGTTAGCTTTTAATATGGGTTGGTTGTGCATGAATCATGTGCCAGTGTGTTGTCTAGACTCTGGAACAAACATCATTTTTTTGAAGATTGTTGTTGTTGTTGTTGTTTTTCGTAAATTTCCATGTTTTGGAAAATTGGAAGCATTCATATATTACAGAAAAACTTGTCATCGGATTAGTTTCACATGCTATATCATCGCTGTGACTGCTACAGGTTGTGTGCACTGCATCACGTTTTTGTGCCATGCCCATTGTTGCAGTTGATATTGTGATTTATAGTGTAACCTGGGGTAAAACCCATGTTGCCCCCTCTTAGTATGTTTTAATGACTTCCTCCTACCTTAATGCAAAGAAAAAACACTTTTTTTTTTCTTTTGAACTCGTGTTTAACTGAACCCTGACCCACTGCTTGCCAGTATTGTTTCTGGCCAAGTTTGGTGTTTTTGGCACAGGCACTGCCGAGATGCTCGCCCACATCTAGGTCTCTGTTCATGATGACCTGCTGTATGTTCTATGTTGCATGTCTTTCATTCTTTTCTGTGTTGTATACTCTTCACTTCACAGTTCACATTCTGCTAATTTATGTGGTGGCTCATGACAAAGTCATGTGTAGGATTGGAATTGTGACAGCCATTGTTTGTGTAGAATGACGATTAATAAACCTACGCCAGATCCAGGCCCCTTTATTTTAATAGGGTCAATGTTTTAGACCTAATCTCAATTGGGCCTGTCATGACCTGAGGAGTGACTGGACTGAGACCTGGCCAACCCAAGATTAAGACAAAATGTACAAATTTCTATATTATGCATAGCTAAGTCATAAAATATTTGAAGCAGGAAAGCAAAATTAAGTGATTTTAAACATTTTATATTTCCAAATAAGTTGTATCAGTGTAACACTATTATTATATAATGCATAAGGTATCGATTTATGTCAAGAAGCATTATAATCCCCCCTCCCCCTGTTTTTTGAAAAATGTAACTCAAATTTCATATAACATTTGGATAAGGTTTAGCTAACCTCAAGTGTGACCCAAACCCCAACCCAGAAATTAATTGGGTTGTTTTGTTCAACTTTTTTGGAGCCAAACCCAATCGGCTTCAAGCTAGTTTTGGTCACGGTCACCCCCATGGCCAATGATGACTTCCGTAGGCTTGTAATGATTGCAGATATGACTGAAAAATTTGACATCCAAAGGACTGAGGCTTTGAATGTTTTACCTTTGATTTTGATGTCTTATTTGTATAATTTTTTAGTGTATTTTATATAAACTTTACAGACGGCTTTTTTTCCCTTTATTTTAATTGACTCAAGCTTTATTGTCCAGTCTGTCTTAAGTTTGTCGTCTAGTGAAGTCTTGATGACATTTTATAGTCATTTCCATGCCCATTCCTGATTCTGATAGTTATTGCCATTTCCAATGATTACTCCATAGGCTTGGAATGACCCCATAAATGACTGCAAGAGTTAACTTGGGGCCAGGTTTTTATTAATTTTATAACTGTGTTCTTGATCGAAATTATTTGCTTCTGTTTGTTAAGTGTTTATGCTGAGTGATGTTTCCTGTGAAGGTGTTCGAGTACAGTTATATATCTATGTCATTGCTCCAGTCAAGATTCTAAATTTCTAGTTCCAAGGGACTATTTTTGGTTTTCTTGTTTTTAGGAATTATTTATTGCATGGAAATATTTTTAGAATTAATTTACAGAATATAAATATTCAGAAACTTGTTTGATGACTTTTGTTTTGAAAACAAGTTTTTAAAGATCAAGGACACCTATCTCTTTTTGAATGTTTTTGCCATTCTCCCCAACAATATCTTGCTCTCTTCAGAGATATTCACCAGCCCAATCTCCTCAATGAGATGGAATGCCTTTTCCAGCCCACTGCAAATATTTCTTTTTAAGATAGAACACCCTGTCTCATTGAAAGGAACTGATTTTCCCCGTTACATTGGCTTTGTTAGGAATTTGTCAAAAGGCTAAGGCTTGAGCTTTTAAAAAAAGTAAGGAGCTTAATTTTAATAAAATAAAAGAGGGAAAGGTAACATAAAAAATAATAGAATAGAAGTAACATCTAAAAATAAGCTACTTATTCTTGTCTCCCCCAGTTCCCCTCCATTATATTTCTGAACTAATTGATATGGGACAATGAAATGAAGTTTTTAAGTTGAAACTGAAATGATTTCTAATATATTTTTGAAGCTCTTATTTTGAGCTTCAACTTAAAGTGGCCTTTAACCCCCCAAAAAAGCTGGGCCTGGGAAACCTTTATTGGCAGCTGTAGTGATGGGGTGGGATGCACGGGGCGGGTGAGAGGATTGTATTGGTTGAATTATCTGATGAAGTTTACATGAATTTCTTTTACCGTTGTTAATGTTTCATTGTGGTTTTGCAGCCCTGCATTTCAGAGGTTTGCAGTGAGAACATCAAAAAGAATTGAAGATATTTCTAGCAAAGGTAGTAGTAGCAAAATTATGTTTTTGATATTTAGTGTGACCTTGTGAACATGTCAAATTTTACACCTGTTATATATTCTTGCAGCTATTCAGAAGAGGCAGGAGCTAGCTGAGCAGATCAAGGACATATCCAAAAATATGGAGGTTGTATGCTGTCAAAACTAACATTGAATCAGCTACTTAATATATGATTATCATTGTTTAACTTTTCCTCTTTTTTTTTTTTGTTGCTTTCAGTCATTCAAGAAGCAGTGATTTTGGTAATGCTACATTGCTGAAGATAATGAAGTCCTGATTCTCTTTAGCTAAAGATGCTACTGGAGGCAAGGCCAGTTGTCTGTAAAATTCTTTTGTAATAATATGTTTCGGTTCTTATCTCGTGATCTTAAAGTTGGGATTTGAGGGTTTCTTCCAGTTTGCTTGGTGAAAACCATATTAGGATATTACTGCTAGCTTATGATATTGTATCACTAAATATTAGTCTGCCTTTAATTTGAAACTACTGAACACTAATTATTACAAAATAATACGATACTTTTTACGTTGTTACTGTAGGGGATCTTATGTTAGTCCAGGTTGCAACAGGACTCTTGCAAATCATTTTAATGGTGAATGTGTTGTTCGAGCTATAGTTTGTAACTACCTTGCTTTTCATCACTAGTGCAAATTTAATTTTGGAAGTGTTTAATAGATTTTGTGATTTTACTTTTCAAAGGGTTTTTTTTAAGAACTTCTATAAAAAAAAAACTCGGCATGTATTTAACACTTGTCAGGTGATTTGTAAATTAGTATTTATATTTATGAAGAATTAATTTCAGAAATGGTTTACAGAATTACAAATTATAGAAGTGTTGTAAAAGGTGGTGTGATTCAACAAAAAAGGTAATGTAAAAAGTAATTCCCTTAACTGTTTTTTCGGATGGCTGGTTGAATGGAGATTATGGATCCAATAGAAAAAAGAATGTGGATGCAACAATTGCAGGCTTTCCATCAAGAAGTGATTTTCTATGTCAAATTTACTTTTAAATTTTTTCCAAACACGCTGTCACCCGTCCGATCAATTCAATCTGTTAAACTACTTATAAGAATGTAATTTATAATTAATTGATTAATATAATTGTTGTACCTGCAACAAAGTCCTGGTACTTGTCTCTTTTTCCTTAGTCATTTCTGGTCTAATTTTGCTTTTTAGGTTAACGATAAGGGGTATCTGCAAAGATACTTTCACAGTCAAGTTAGTGAATGTTTAAGGGTACACGTATGAGAGAGTTGGAGTAAGTTATAAATTAGATTACCCTAGGAGTAAATTTCAAAGGGAATAATGAGACTGAAATCTGTTTTCGAGATCATGATTAAAGCTGTCAAACTCTCAAGTTAATTAGTACATTTTTACGAGTATACAATCTTAAGTAGAGAAGAGTTAATTTTATAGCAAATTTTTTTTCAGATAAACTCAGGTAATTTGTGTAAATTCTTATAATTTTTCGAGTCAAGAAATAAGTCAGTGAGTTTGTAATCAAATATAATTTCTGTTCTATTAGCTTCATAATATTAGTATTATGGTATGATTGAAATGATTTGAAGAAATTAACTCATTTATTTTTACTTTAAAGACTATGCTTTTCTGAAACTGTATATGATTTAATCATTTATGTAGTTTAATCCTACTTAATACTAATATACTATATCACTTTATTATTGTAGTTTAGTACTCTTGTCTTTTTATAAAGTTGAAATGTTGTATTAAAAATATTATATCATGTATGTGTCTCATTAATAAATTTTTTTAATGTTATTTCTATAAGAATTAAAATCTTTGGAATTTACGAGTAGAGATTATGAATATATTTTACGAGTTTATATAAATTTTTGAGTTTAACAACCTTAATCTTATCTTTACATGTGGTGGGTCATTACTAGTGGATAATTACCCGTTCATGTATCCTTTTATTTAGTGAGGCATGAAAGGTCATTCTTCATAATTAATACAATTGTGCATGCCAAAATCTATTTATTTCTCATCCCTCATATGCTTGGACCTTATCACTTTGAGTAGTTGGGGCAAACAAGAGTATTAAAGAGGATCAAAAAACAGTTATTTAATTGTGGTGGAGCTATATCCTTGGACTGTAGTGAGGATTATTGCCCCCACTTCAATTACCTTCGCTAATTAACGTCACTTAATCATGAAATGATGGCATGAAAAAACATAGAGATGTATGATTCATAATTCTTTTTTAATCGAGTTATTGATTTATTATATAATAAGTAATCTTAATTGTTAAAAAATATGAATTGATTTATTATATATTTAACGTCACTTCACCATCCGATCTTGTATCAATGTTAATCTTTGATGTGATATGATATCTAATAGTATAATTTAAATATTCTTTAAATTTCTGTAACTTTTAACACCGGTAATGAAAATATGTACTTTATATTGAGATTTCACTTTTTTAGCTTACGGTTCATTTAAACAGTTAAATGGTTATACTTCCTGTTACATTTTCTTCATTACACACATTTAGAGACCTAAAGATGCAAAAAAAAAAAAAAAAATTCTCAAAATTATAATAACAATGTTAGAAAATTAAATTTATCACCATGTGTATATTAACAGAATAAATAATCAAATTTATTTTTAAGGTATCACTCTCTCTTAAATAATCTTTAAAGTAAAAAAATAAAAATTATATAAGTAATCTCTCAAGTAAGTATTATAAATAATGTTATGCAAAAGATATATATTAGAAATCATGTTATATAATTTTTCAATTATTGATTTTTTTAAATTAACAATTACTTATATAATTTTATTATTCTTAAAACTATTTAGAAGACGGAGTAATACTGAACTAAACAAATGATTTAATTTTCATAAAAAAAATGAAGAAAAAAAATTGACCGTTCAACAGTGGATTTGACCTTTCCACCCTTGAGAATTGATTAAATAACTTGGCTGAAATATTGAATTTATATTTTGACTATAAATAAGTACAATAAATTTTATTTTTATTTTTATTAATTATTAAATATATTTTTTTTAAATGAACACCTTTTTATTTTAACCCAATTATTTTCTGAGATCTACATCTTTTATACATAAAAAACTACCCTTTTATAAATAGTTTTATATTAAATTCAAATTAAACTAATAATATAAGAACATTTATTTATTTTAAATCTTATCTTAGTCATCTGGAACAATTGGGGATCCAATTTATTAGATTTAATTTTAGAAATATTTTTTTAAAAACATTAAAGCGTGATGAAATTTAGTATTGGAAAAATAAACAAAGATTTGTCGATTTTTTTCGTTATTTTCTTTTTTCTAAAAAGACTTGTAGATAATTGATATTTGAGATAGATAATTTAATAGAAGTTATTTTATAAAAATGATAAATTTTATAAATCAATTAAATATGATTAAAGTTCAACGTATTTATTTAAAATAATGATAAAGTTTAAAGATTAATTAAAATTAAATCACATTTTTACATGTGTATTTGTAAATAATTTAATGCTTAATTAAGATAAAATTAAAGTTTAAGGTAACTATTTGCGATAAAAAAAATCTAAAATTCAAAGGGGTTAAGTATTTTTTTTTCTCAAACTTTCTAGGTTTGATTACTTATTTAGACTCTACACTTATACAATTTTTACTTTTTATACTTACACTTAAAAATCATTATTTTAATTCTTACATAAACATTCTCAATTTTTTTAGTCTTTGTTATTAAATAAAATTATTACCAGAAGACGATGTGATGACATTGATATAGCATTGCACTTTATGTTTTAGTTTTATAATTGGACTATTTTTTCATTTGGTCCATATATTTTAATTATTTTTATCTTTTAGTTCTGTACTTATATAATCTTTATGGTTTAGTCCTTATACATAGAAATTACATATTTTAATTATTGAATTATATATATATATATATATATAACATAAAAAATGCTCATAGCATGACACAAATATTTAAACATTTGATATTATAAAATTAAAATGATACAATAAGAGTTTACTACATTGTATTATAATTGTTTTAGAGTTAATCATTTATATATTGTTAGTGTAAGATTTTTTACACTGACAATCAATTATATTTTTTAAATTATTTTATTTTATTTTTATTTTATTCAATAAGTAAATGACATGACACTATTAAAATATATGATTGGTTGTCGGTGTAAATTTTTTTTACAATATATATATATATATATATATATATAATTAACTCATTGTTTTATGAGTCAAAATTTAAAATTATGCAATATACCCAACTACTGTAAAGGAATGTCAACATTTATTATTACTGTTAGACTATCTCATATTATTTAAGAAAGACAAATTTATAACTTTAAAATTATCTAATTTTGTGTTAATGAGAATTAATTAATATAGAAGATTTAAAATTTTATCCATAGACAATCTAAAACATGTAATTTTCAAATATAAGGAATAAAATAAATTTTTTTTACAAGTATATAAATAAAAAGGTATTAATAATTTAAGTATATAAATATAAGGTATTAATAGATCAAACAATAAAAATAGTATAAATATAAAATCTAAATATTAAAACACATTGATGTGGCAGTCATTATTAATGATGTTAAGTTTTATTTAACATAAGAGACCAAAGTGAAATTAAAATTTTTGCATATAAAGTCTAAAACGAATGATTTTCAAATATATAGACTAAAATCAGTAAAATGTAATGATGCTTTAAGTATAAATGAGTAATTAAACCAATTTTCTATTATGAGTTTTTTTTTTTAAAACGTAAATTAATAGAAGTGTATTGGTTCAAGATTTTATAAGATTTAAAAAAAATAAGTAAAAAAGTTCGTTGGTATTTAATCAGAATTTTATGTCACTTAAAAATAATCTAATAGCATTCGGTATGGATTTTCAAGATTTTTTTAAAGAGTCCAGTAAAATTTATTGATATACATTTGAGAGTTTTTACAACTTAAAAATAATTCATTAGTATTAAAAAAAATATAAGGATTTTAAAGGATTGTTATATTAGAGAAATTTTGAATGACTTTGTAGTGGTATCTATAAATACCAAATTCATAAAATAATCTCATCCAAATCCATCAGATTTTGGAGGATTATTTGAAGTGACTTTTCAAGTGTTTCAAGAATTTGCAAGTAAGTTTTTCATTTTTTTTATACTATTGTCTTCATTTTTTTATCTACTAATAATATTGTATTACTGCTCATATATAATATTGTACTACTATTCTCATTTCATTTCCCTATTTGGTGAAACTCTAGTACGTAACAATGTCATTGACTTGATCTATTTTTCTCTCCGTTCTCTTTAATTGACTCGCTCTATTTTGCTTTATTTAGTTGAGTTTGTTCATTAGATATATAATACATAAAATACTTGAAATTTCAACTTTTAAGTAGTAATTTTTTATAGCACGTGTTGAGAAAAGGGAAAGGTGAAAGATGAAATTGATATCATGATCTCTACAATCAATTGTAGATCTTCAAGACCTTGTAATCAATTTAGATTTAAAGGTCTTTACCATAGTTAACTAGCACCTTTAACTGTTGAGTTTGAGATATTTATCTATATCATATAACATTTTTTTAATTGAATAATGGATGTTTAAATATCTAAAATATATAAATAATAATGTATAGCCTATATATATATATATATATATATATATATATATATATATAGAAATTAAGTCTTTTACGGGGCTATAGTATTGTTTTTAATTATATAGGTACCTATTATGTGAGATATAAATTTAATAAGTATTTTTATCTATAATTATTTATATAACTAGTTCTCAACACATGTTGTTTTAGTAATTCAAATGGGAGATTCACAAGGAAATAATAAAGGAAAGAAAGAAAATCATGAAGTTTGGATCAAGGAGGATTCTAATGAATTGTTACAGTTGATAGTGGATGCTATAAAAAGTGGATTGTGTGATGCTAATAGGTCAATTAGCAAACTAAATGTGGAGAGAGTCATCCTTCCTCGTCTCAATGCTAAAATTAAATTCCCTAAAACATATAATCATTATTTGAGTCAAATCAAGTGGTTTAAGAAACAATATAATAATATGTTAACACTTATGCACAACAACTGTGGCTTTGGGTGGGATCCAATTACAAAGACATTCACCGCTAGTGATGAAGTATGGAAATATTACTTAAAGATAAGATTACTTCATAATCTTTTAAATATATTAATAGTTTACATTAGTGCATTATATTATTTTCAATATTTTAATAATGGATTTTTTTTCAAGTCTCACCCAAGTCACAAAAATCTTCGAGAAAAAAGTATGATTAATTATGAGGATTTGAAGATTGTTATTGGGGGTGGAACTCCTAGTGAGCACACTTCCATGTTAGTAGACCCTGATGATACCGATGCTACAACTTTTGGAGAAGAAAATGTTGATTTTAGGATTGAAAACTTTTCATATGATCTTAACAGTGATATATTCATTGCACCATATCACTATGAACCACCTTACCAACCTCCATCACCTCGCCCATATCTGTTGGCATTGAGACTATAGTTAATTTTGAAAAAATGTCTAACTTGATGGAGAAAAGAGAAAAAGACAAAGAGGCAATGGAAAATATTTGGAGTGCTATAAAAGATATTCCAAATTTGGATGATCGAACTTGCTATACAGCGATTGATACTAATGCAAAGAAAGACTTTTTCTTAATGATGTCAATAGAAGAACACTCATATTAGATAAAGTACAAGTCAGGATGAACAATATTGTTTTGGTGTTATTTTGGTTGCACTTGATTGAAGTATTTTCTTTATAATTTGGTTGTGTATGAATACATGTTGGATTTGTCAAACCATATTGTTTTGGTGTTATTTTGGTTGCACTTGATTGAAGTATTTGCTTCATATTTTGGTTGTGTATGAACACATTTTGGAATAGTGAAACTATATTGTTTTGATGTTATTCTGGTCGTACTTGATTGAAATATTTTAGCATGTTTTATTTATTTTTTATTATATTGTTGATTTTTAGTTATATTATTTTATATAGGTACAATGTCACATTCGAGCATGTATGAAGGTAGTGACATAGATGATGAAGAAATGGGTGGCAAAAAGATAGATGACGAAGAATTTTATGAAGCCATGTACGCATGTGTAATGGCAATTCATGCATGAACACATGTGTTGATTCAGTTTCTAGTTATGATACATAATGAACAAATTGAGCATCCATTAAATTGACAACAAATTACTAACATGGGGAATGACTATATACACCGAGCATTAAACGATGATCCTACAATATTTCGACAAGTTTATAGGATGTATCCAGTCATCCAGATGTATTTCGAGAGTTATGTGCAATTCTTAGAGAAAAAACACCTTTAGAGAATACACAATATATTTGTGTTGAAGAAATGCTTACATCATTCCTACAAATTGTTGGTTAAAATACTCAATATTGTGTAATTTGTAACACATTTGGCTGATCACAATTTGTTACAAGTGAAAAATTTCACAAAATTTTGAAGGCTTTGAATACAATAGCACCTACTTTGATGACTAAACCAGAATCAACTATGCCGGTTAAAATTAGAGAAAGCACAAGGTTCTTCCCTCTCTTATTCAATGTATGTACTCATTATCTTACAATAAAAATTATAATTAAATTTGACACTACTATATTTATATTTTTCATACGATGAAATGTTATATATGCTAAATTTTATGATTGCATTGGAGCTATTGACATGATACATATTCCAACAATGGTGAGGGGGCGATATGTAAGCAATTACTTTAATCGTCATGGAAAGATATCACAAAATGTATTAGCTGCTTATAATTTTGATTTTAAGTTCATGTACGTTCTTAGTGGGTGCGAGGGTTCAACTCATGATTCTAAACTACTAAATGATGCTATAACAAGGAGAAATGGACTTAAAGCGGCTCAAGATAAATTCTTATTCTTTAAATAATAATAATAATAATAATAATTATTATTATTATTATATTATATATATTGCATATGTAATTAGGTAAATATTTCTTGGTGGATTGTGGATTTCCTAACTGAGACTAATTTTTAGCTTCATTTCGAGATGGAAGATATTATTTACAAGATTTTGCAAGTCAAAGTAATGACACTGAAAATGAGAAAGAATTGTTTAATCTTCGTCATATATCTTTAATGAATGTGATCGAGAGAATATTTGATATTTTTAAACTAATGTTCATAATTTTTAAGTCAACACCTATATTTTTATTTAAGACACAAGTAGAACTTGTATTAGCATATGCAATATTACATAACTTTCTTCATAAAAAATATCATTTTGATGAATTTTCAATTGAACCGGTAGATGAACCTTCATCTTCAATATTATAGGTTAATAAATATCATAATTTTGAACCTATTACTCAAACTTAGGAACAAAAGTGAAAAGATTCTAATATTTGAAAGACTGGTATAACTATGAATATTTAGGTAAATACTATTTAAAAAGACATAATATTACATAGAATTATTATTATTATTATTATTTATTCAGATATTATACTTTTTTTATAATTAATTTTGTATTTAATTTTTTAAATTTAAATGTATAAAATCTTTTTGAACTCTTATCATATATAAAAATCTATAAAAATATATAAAATCTATAAAAATCACACAAATTTTATTAAAATTTTGAATTAAAAAATTGACTTAAAATCCTTGCAAAATCTATTAAAATAATTAAAATAATAACTTCTAGCTAATTTTTCATTTTGTGTGCCCTTTCACCTCTGATAAAGATACAAAACATCAATTTCCGTGTTCCAACTACAAAACCCTTTGTCCTTTGTCTGCGAAGGTTTAAGGTTAAGGTTTTGCGAAGCACATAATTCCTCTAATGGCGTCCACTGTATGCACCAAGGCCAACCAATTTCGCTCTTCCACGCGCTTTCTCTTAGTAAACTTTCTTCGCCATGGAAGACCCTCCATCCTTTTACCACCATACTCTCCACATCGTCCACCGTTTTATCACCCTCACAAGGTTCACTTTCCTTTCATTGTCATTCACCCCTAAAAAATCAATTTTTCCACGTAAAGTTCGTTGCTTTGATTCCATTTCTCGTTCTTCTCCTCCCATCTCAATTGGGGTAGTTTTAATTCTCATTGGGTGTCTCTTTCTGTTGAATTTATAGGTCAAGAATCAAGGATGTGATAATGGGTCGTTGGGGTTGGGTCAAATGTTTCTATCCACTTCTTCTTCTTCTGCTGTTGCTGATAATGTTAAAGGAGAAAGACCAGCTTCGGATTCGGATCACTCTGCAAAAGATGATTCTGGCCAAGGGTACGAGTCTGGGGGTGGAGATCAGAAAAGTGATGCTGGGAAACCTGTTCGCGGAGGGGTGTGTATATATCTAAAGTTATTGTTGTTAGCAATGTGGTTCTTCTTCCTTGAGCATTTTTATTTTTCCGGTTCATGTGGATTTTATGTGATGGGGGTTCGATTTGTGAGCTGATTTTACGTTCGATCTTTCAGCCTGTTTCTTGGTTGAGCTTTCTCTTGTTGGTAACCACTGGAGCTGGATTGGTGTTCTACTATGATAAGGAAAAGAAGCGACATATTGAAGGTAGATTACTATGGTGAGTTGTTGTTGTTGTTGTTTTTTTTTTTTTTTTTTGTGGTTAGGCATGGGGGTTGTGTCTTCGTTAATTGTATGTTTGTTGTTGCTTATATTATCACAGGTAATTTAGTCTGCAAAAAAAATATTTAACATATAAATTGTATTATTATTAAGATTAGAAAAAATGATTATTTTTGAATATGTAAGTTATATTTTGGATGTACAATAAACAACATAATTTGTGATATAAGATTATTTTTCACTGTCGAAAAATTCATTAATACAAAATTATTGAAATTCAATTTATAGAGATAGAGATAAACAAGGGTAGATTGAAAGAGATAGACAAGCCATAAGAAAATAAAGTATACAATTTGAGATGATTGAAAGAGAATTGTTTGGCTAGTTATGTGTGAAATGTACATCTAAAAGAAAGAAGAGAGAAAATACAGAATATCTATTTGAGAAAGTAGGAAGCACGAGAGCCTCACTCTCCAAGTCGTGCATTCTAATTTATAATACAAGAGTAGATGCGTATTTTTTGATGACTGTTAAATAAATTGTGGCATGTTTCCTTGTGTATTTTATAGAATCCTAGCAGGGTCGAATCTTGTTTGAGGATGAAGTTATGTAAAGGATATATAGTGCCACATATTTGTGTCTTAGAGGTGGCATGAAAAAATTAAGATCAAATAGCTCCATTTCCTGTTGCATTTCAATTTGATTCTAAGGTGCTGTGGATGTTTTCTTCTTCCTTTATTGATTAAACTTTTATTGGTGTAGAAATACGTAATAAAACAGAGGCTGTTAAGCAGGGACCTTCTGCAGGAAAAGCTGCAATTGGGGGTCCATTTCGCCTTATCAACCATCACGGAAAATATGTAACTGAAAAGGATTTCCTGGGAAAGTGGACTTTGTTATATTTTGGCTTTACTCACTGCCCGGATATTTGTCCAGATGAACTACAGAAGTTAGCAGCTGCTGTTGATAAAATAAGTAAGTTTTTGTAGGTGATTTCTTGGTGTATGTCAATTTAAGTTTCATACTATACAGAGCAAAATATGCTCTAATTCTCTTTGCAGTAGTCAATGAACAATTACAATACCAAATGATGTCTGAAATAATGAACTTCATGAGAGGTACATGTCTGGAGTGGGTTTGAACCATCGAGGTTCAATTCAATGGGATAGTGATTAAAATGAAATTTCAAGTGCTTTTTGTTTTTGGCATTTTGATTTAACCTATGGCTGTTAAGAAAACACATTACAGTTTTTCAATCTTAAATTTCGATCTTGTGATAATATACTAATGGTAATCATATCCATGTCTCTTGGTTCCCTGCAGAGGAGAAAGGTGGAATTGAAACTGTGCCAGTTTTTATCTCTGTTGATCCTGAGAGGGATACTGTTGAACAAGTCGGTGAATATGTCAAAGGTGTTTGGCGTCATACTTCTTAAATTACTTTTATGGTCTATTGTGTTTTTTTCATTTTTTTTTTTCATGGAAGGGGAGGAGGAGGGGTGAATATTATATCAGTTACTAAATTCTAAGTTCATTTTGGTAATTTATACTTTTCAGAATTTCATCCAAAATTAATTGGATTAACTGGTAGCCCGGATGAGATAAAGAATGTTGCTCGTGCATATCGTGTTTATTACATGAAGACAGCGGAGGAAGACTCAGATTATCTTGTTGATCACTCCATAGTTATGTATGTAATATTGTTTTTACTTCATATATTTTGCATTCTTTTCCACCAGTTGGTCTTGATGCTGTATGCTAGTAGTGTGTCTATGAATTTCTAATCTTGATATTGGAAATGAAATTTGTGGATGATCTAATCTATGAAATATTTCCACGGAAAGGATGAGCGTAGTGATTGTTGTGGTAATATCCATAAAGTTGTGAATGACCTAATCATTGAAATATACCCATCATGACGGAATATTAACTTCTATCCACATGTGCCACATTCATACATATCTATTTTATTTGGAACATGGAAGCCTATGGTTACCAGGCAAATTCAATAACTTTTGATCAAATTGAATTAATAGAAAATTTGAACATTTCTAATAAATTGCTTTTTGTGTTTCAGTCATTAGTGTCATTATACTAGATAGAGGGTTTTTTTGGCTATCTGTTGAGCAATTAGCTTGCAGACAGAAAGTTTCATTTTCCTGGTTACTCCTATCTATTAATTCTCTTATTATGCTTATGCATTTTCATTGTTATCTGTGCATATGTAATTGTATGTGGTTGCATCTGTAGAATTACATGGCTCTTGTAAAGGATCATTCTTGTTGAATAATGAATGCTAACCTGATAATATGGTAATTCTTTCCAGATACTTGATGAGTCCTGATATGGAATTTGTAAAGTTTTTTGGCAAGAACAATGATGTTGACTCACTTACTGATGGAGTTATTAAGGAGATAAAGCAGTACAAGAAGTAACCTGCACAACCTTGCTATTGGTATCCTCATTTCTTTCTCGCGGAAACAAAATTGCATGAATTTTGGCCTTGTGGTAGTAAACTACACTATCAATTCTGAATATACTTCTGAAGGCTAGGTCCAGGTGACTCTGGAGATTTCAGTTTCAAAATTCAACTTAATTGGTGTCATTTTTTTCCCAATGTTTAGTACTGTACTTGAAAAAGTTGTGGCCATATATTGTTATTTATGTGGATTTTGAGATGCAACGGCATCACAATGCCATGTTCAACATGTTCCTTATATCTGATGTGGCATCTTATAATAAGAAAAACCACGGTTTATAGACAACTGATTGAGAATTACGATCTTTCTACAGAGAAGAGGCTACATTTAAAATGAATTTGATTGGTTTCCTTTCTTTCATTGATAGCAAAACACTTTTGAATGTTGGCACTCAACATTGATCATTTGCATGAACCTCTGTATATTGGTTTTAATGTGAGCAAGTTACAAATTTAGGACAACTTACCAAAGTTTGAATAATTAAAATGCTACCGAGAAAACACTACTAAAGAAATGATAAATTAAAATTAAGCGACTAAAGAAATTTGAAGTAACTGTTGCTACTTGGTAATAACTGTTGGTACTTGGTAGTATAAGCTACAATTTGAAGTGTGTGATTGTGAACTAAAAACATGTGACAGAGTTAGCATTTAATCTTATCTTTTAAACATGTGAGCAGGGATTCGTGTGTTGTTCAGTATGTATAAAAAAAATATATGTTGAAATAGGTTAATTTTTTAAATAAATTTCAGTACATCAAATGATTATAAGAGGAAATCCTGGTTTATTTAAAAAAAAAATTGCATGTTTGTGCCTGATTTTTCAGCCACGATTTATGATTTATTTAGCTACAGTAATCTGGATGCTGATGTTAGCCTTGTGCTCATTTCCCACGTTTGAATTATGATCCACCTTTTCAACTTCTCTGCCTTTCATACACTTATATTTATGGCCACATTTGGTGAAGTATTTCATACTTGAGATAAAGTCTGTCATATCACTTCTACTTTTGGCCCCAAATATTTATATAACTGTCCCATGTATTGAAGTAAGCTTGTTAATTTCAACATGGTCCTTAGCCTCAAACCCAATACCCAGCCTTCTAAAAAAGGAACAGTAGTATAACTCAAGTGAGAGGGTGTTGTATCTGTTTGCACACAGCCACCTTTTTTACTCGGTTTATTCAAGTAAACTTTTCTCAAAATATCTTTTAGGAAAAATAAAATTTAAAAATAAAATAAACTAAATTTATAAGTAAGTTAATTTATATAAAAAAAAAAACTTCTCTCATATTAATTTCTGTAAAATAAATTTTAACTTGTGTATAAGTCAATTTAATTTATGAAAATTTTTATTTTTTTTTCTTTTTTCTTTTTTTCTCTCTTAAAAGTGTTAATAGAGAAGTTTGTTTAAACAAACTCTTAGAGAATATTTTATAGAAGAGAATTCTTCTCATGTATGAGAATCATGATTCTTTAAAATTATAAATATTGAGAATCATAATTCTTAGAAATAATTAAAATGTATCTGATTGGACATAAATATTTCTTAAGAATATTTATATATATTATTATCTTCGTTCTTATATATAAGTATCAAATACCTAATTCAGAAAAGTAGTTAATTTTTTTTTATAATAATAAATTTATCTTATATATATATATATTATATGATTTTTACGATTTTAACATTCAAACTAATAATACAAAAATATATTATAGTTCAAATTAATTGATAATGCTAATATATATATATATATATATATATACATTAAAACTACCATGGTACTACGTTACTCTCTTAATTAATTACTCACATCTCTTTTAATCAATTAGAGTACATGTTACATATTACTTCTCTCATAATTATTATTGTTTACTCTTCTAATCAATTATAATGCATATTTTTTAAAGGGTTTATAATTAATGTATCTCAACAAATTAAGAGAACGTGTTTTAATTAAAGATATTTTAGTTTAAAAATAATTAATACATTAAATATTATAAATTAGATCTTATATAAAAGAACAAATAATTATTCTAAGTTGAATCTTATATATAGAAACAAATGTAGTATATGATAATCAATGATTTTTATTGCATTAAATAGATAAATAAAGGTAATATGACATTATTATCAAAATAAAACTTTCAATTTAACGAAAGTTAAATTTTCACCCATCTCATAAAAATAATTTTGTAAAAAATATAGGTAAAAAAAATATTACCAAGTAACAATTTTTTTAAGAATGTTATTTTTAATTAATAAATCAAACGTAAGAATTTAACTTTATCAATTTCATATTCTTGAAAAAGTAAAATTAATTTTTGCAAACATCTCCTTAGTGCATTTTAATAATATCCAATAATCAATTCTAGCCCAAAAATAGTGATAATATGAAAAATTAAAAATAATTATTTAATACTTCATCTTTACCGTGAAAAAATAATTAATTACTTTTTTTACTATGAAATTAACTCAAACACATTATCCTTTCTTTGAAGCTAGGAAAAAAGGTCAATTAGTATATTCACTAATTATGATCCTTCAAACATTTTTGCAATTATCTTATAATGTGTTTGGTTTTAAGTGATGCAAAAGTTACCATTGTTAAATTTTATGAAGATATGAAAAATTACATACTCAAAATGCGACAACCAACTTGTAGATAATTTTTTTTTTTAAGAATTTAAGTGGTGTTCTTTCATGTCTTTGAAAAATTCATTTAAGAAGTTAATATCTTTCAATAAATATTTTTTCATACACACTATTTAATGATCAAATTCTCAATTGTATATTTAAAGGATAAAATTATCTACTAAGTTACAACTTATTAATTTGCTAATCACATTTTAAAATATAGATAAACATACAAAACAACCTATTAGCAATGTTGACAAAGTTGAAGCACGGACACAATAGTAATGTGACATAGCCATGAAGACCAAGATATTCGATGAAGAAAGAGTTGTGATTTTCAATTTTAAAATGAGAAGTCATTAGGATACAATTTTGTGAATTTTACCGGTGAAATATGCTTTTAAAATAGTCATTAAAATAACAGACATGATACTATAAGTTAAAATATTTATCTCTTAATCAACATGATGTAATGGGATTGATATATAACTTTTAACAAATACTTAATTTAAACAAATAAATAATTTATTAAATAACTTAAAAACTTTAGTAGTTTATTTTATATCATAAAACAAAAAATTATCAACTTAATGATTTTATTAATTGAATAATTTTTTTATCTATTAAATGATTTAACTATTTGATCAATTAAAAATAATTTAATTTTGAAACTTAATTAAATATATTCAGTATTTATTTTTATTTTTAAACCCAAAAAATTAAATAACTTTTAAAATATATTCTTTACTTTATAAAAAGCCTTAATATAATTATTATACAATACTTTATTACTTTTGAATTGACCTTGGAATTTTCGTTTTTTTTTTATGTAATCATTTTAAAATAGAAGATTAACTAAAAACCGTGATATTTAAAAATAATGAATGAAAATAAAATGAAAAACCTATAATAAATATTTTTCATAAGAAATTATCTAAATAAAATTAAAAATGAAAAAAAATAAAAAGTTAAGATTTTTTTATTTATTAAAAGAATTTGTTTTTTACATTATTAAATACATCTTTTTTACGTTGTTAACTAATTAGAAAATAATAATATAAATTTAATTTTCAAGATAATTATTATAAAAATTAAGATATTTACTCTACATTATAACTTATAATCAAATAATAATGTAAAATCTCTTCACAATTTTTTTTAATTATCAAGGAATATTTTCTCATCAAGTACAAGAATTAATCTCATTTAGGATTCTGATACCAAGTAGGGGAACATTGTCTCTCAACTTAAATTTTTTATATTTGCAAGGATTAGATTCGATCCATAACTAATTAGTTAAGTGACGTGAGTTATTCGTCATTTGTAGTAATCAAGTTAGTCAACTCTCTTTACTATCCTAGCTATTTTTTCTAAGAATTAAACTTATGTTATTCTCTTGTTAAAATTGAAATATTCATGATAAAAATATTACATTAAATGTCAAAATGTATTATTTTCCCATTTATGTGACTCAATTTTAAACTATTATTTGTTTTTTTATATAAGACTAAATTTATATTATTTTATATATAAATTATTTTTAGACTAAAATATCTCTAATTAAAATGTTTTAATTTAGTAAAATACATTAATTATAAATTCTTTTAAAAAATATACCTTATTGATTATGAGGAAGATGATTATTATTAGAAGAAAGAAATAATATATAATATATATATTCTAATTGATTAAAAAATATATAAATATTAATTAAAAAAAGAAAATAATATAAGAATAATTTTTTAAAAAAATATATTAAAAAAGATAAGTTTATTATTATGAACTAAACTAACTATTATTTTTAATTTTGATAAATTATACGATTAAATCTTGTATATATATAAAAACATCAATAATATTAAAGCCAAACCACAATCATGTTCAGAGAATAGCACTAAAATTATGTATTTTTAATGTCAAGTTTCAATGGAAAGTAGTATAAAATAATAATTTTAATAAAATTAAAATATTAATTAATTTTTAATTAAATAATTTTGCTATTTAAATCGAATCAGAAGAATAGTATTTTGTACTGAAAAATTGACTTTGTAGACAGCATCGGGTCAAGTAGAACCCGATTTGAGTGAGCCATCAGACATAGTTGTTATTGTTTATAACTACTTTATCACTTCCTCATAAGCATTGATAATAATAACTCGTCTCTTTGTGTCTATATCCTTAGCATCTTCAACCTTAGAATCTTCAATGGCTTCTCTGCTCAACATGGTTTCGGTTCCTCCTAGAATATCACCACCCACGCACACCAGAACCCCTTCACTTCAAGCTCGACCCCTTTTGCCACCCTTTTCTCTCACACTCTCCAGTAGGTGACTCACAACTCTTCTTTCACTCAACTCTTGTGTGTTCCGAATACCCTTTTGGGCCTTCTTTTGTTTCCCCATCTTCAATGTGCTCACTAATCATGCTTCTAATAGTTTTCTCAGCAACCAACATGGTCAAAGTTGCTTTTTTTATGCTTTTCTGATGTGGCTTGTTTCAGTGGATTTGAAATTCTTGGTGTTTGTGTGGGTATTGTAGGGAGGAGATTGTCCATTAGAGCAACGGAGACTGATGCTAATGAAGGTGTTTTTGCGTTTTGTGGTTTGATGTTGGTGCTGTTCATTTCCAATTATTTTTGTGTTTTCTCAGAGAAAGTTTGTTTTTTCTTTTTGCCCCAATTGGTGGGGTGTTTGATTTGAGCAGTTAAATCTCAGGCACCGGGTGCTGCACCATCTAAAGATGGTTCAAGCTTCAATCAGCTTCTTGGTATCAAAGGAGCTGCTCAAGAAACAGTGAGTAGTCTAACTCAACCTTATAGCAATTGCTATATTCTGATGTAGATTTGTTGATTAATGATTGAGTAACTACAGTCATGAAATCAATCTAAATGAAGAGAATTGCAACCATTGATTCCTTGAGCAGGAACTTTGCTTGTGTGTGTGAGTTTATAGAGGTTCATGCATGGCTGATCAATGGTTTTGTACACATTCCACTAAGGATTTGTTTGGTACGGAGAAATGAAGGAGATAGGAAGTTTGTTTGGATCAAAGTAAAGACTCAATTTCACTTTTCACGTCCAAGGAAAAAGCTACTTTAGGTAGCTTAACCAAAGATCTACAAAATGGTGTGTTTAGTTGTGTAGAAATAAGAGTGGAAAAAAATAAAAAGGCACATGAATGTGGTCTGGGATTCTAAAAGTTTTTTAGTTTGGTGTGGATGTAAAAATATTTGTCAGGTGGTCAATTCCTTGAACACATTTATATACCTCAGAGGACTGGTTTTAATTTTTAACTAAGGTATCTGGTTTAAAAAAAAACATACTTTTTTTCTTTCCAAATCAGTGAAATTCTATAGTAAACACACTTTCTATAGTATTTTTTCTTTTTTGGTAAATCACTTTCTATGGTTGGTAATCGGTAATCAATATTTTTTATACTTGGTGCAAAAAAAATGTTTTTTATGCGTGAAATTCTTTTTTCTTTATTTAATTGATTAAATCTTTTGATTTAATTGATTTGATAAAATAAATAGATTATTTAACTTAAAAGTGGATTTATTTTTTTAAACAAAATAATAGAATAAAATAGTGTTACAGTTATATTGTGTTGCATCACAAAATTTATTGTGATGTAAAATGACAATGCAATGGGAAGCATAAAAATAGTAATATCGCGCAATAAGCAATACGTGTTGCTTTGAGGAAGCACGACAAGAGCAATATTGTGCAATATGCAATACGTGTTGCTTTGTGGGAACACGGCAAGAGCAATATTGTGCAATATGCAATACGTGTTGCTTTGTGGGAACACGGCAAGACCAATATTGTGTAATATGCAATACGTGTTGCTGTCAGCAATATAGAGCCCTAGTTGTTTTCATCTATTTCTTTATTTTCTGTGATATGGTAACTACAGTCATAGAATATCTAAATAGAGAGAAATACAGCAATTCTATTACAACTCGCAAGGTTTTAACTTGCAGTGCTATTACAATTCTATTATTATGCTAAAGATTGCAGACAATTTGATGAAAGTATTATATACCTATTTGAGATGAAAGTATTATATACCTATTTGAATCTGTCATAACCTAATTCCAAATAGTACTTACCATAGTAGAGTGTAGTATAAGAACAAAGTGATATGAATTGTGTGATAAGGTGAACTAAATCACTTTTCTTAGTTGAAATTTGATACTATGCTTTATGCTGTATTTACCTATGAAGCATGAGTACTCTAAAAGTTATTCCCTACAACTCTTAAAGAAAAATAAGGTTTTTCATTATTTTTGTTTGTTCTCAAATATCAATCTGCATCCACGCACGAACACATCAACAGTTTTTGGGACTCAATATTCCAAATCATTCTCGTATAAGGGCGGAAGTAATCACATACTTTGTCAAATTCTCGTGTTGGAGAAGAGTTTGGGCAGTTTGGTTCTTTGTAAGATAGATGGAACTTGAAATCAAAGGATGGTGGGCCATATATGGTGTTACAATCTCCAAACTTCATTATGCATTGAAACTTTTCTCACAGCTATTGTCATCTTGTTAAAAGAGAAATTGGAATACATTCTTTTATCTTTTCTATGAAAAGAAATAGGTTCAATCTTAAGAAAACTGAAGATTTAGTTTTTATATATATAAATTTTTGTCTCCTCTCAGAAAAAGCAAGAGTTATATTGAGGATGAGAAGAAAATGTGAGATATTAGTGTTGATGAATGAGATCCATTTGAAGGGACTAAGGTTCTTAAAGTTGTTACTCTTTCTCTTGATAAGCTATTTTTAGAAGCAGTCACTTTCACAAATGATGGAGAAGGAAACAATGTGATATGTTACAATTAATGTGATATATCACAACTAAAGTGTGATATCATAGTTGAAGCCTAATATTATAATCATGCTTTAGGTGTTATGATTTTTATTATGATTTTATAGTTCAAGTGACAAATGTTAGATTTTTTTAATTATTTATATAATTTATTCAAATATATATATATATATATATATATATATTAACATACCCATCCTATATTTTTGAAAAATCGTGTATTCCGTACCCATCCATTACCGTGCCCGTATGCATACAACACAAGTATTTGGCTTACCTTAGAATAGAAATTGCCTGGATTGTTTGTTTCCATAAGCTCTCTGGGATCTGCAGAGGCTTAAAGTTGGTGAAGAGAAAACAATAGGTTTTCATGATGACATATTTAACAATTGATAAACATCTCTAGAAACACTTCGAAGAAAAAAATATGAAGAAAAAATGAAACTAAGTTTTTTTCATATTAGCTAAAACTAACTTGAGCACAAACTAATTTGTAATTTTTTGAAGAAGTTTATGAAAGGACTTTTATAAATTAACTCATGCATAAACTAATTTTAGTTTATGGAAAGCTTGTTTCATTATCTCTTCCTATTTTTTCTCCCTAGAAATGTTTATGAAAAAGTTTTTCTAAACATCCCCAAACTACTTTATATTAAATGGGCACATCCTTCCTTGGAAATCAAGGTTTGCAAATTTCTGTTGTCAAATACATAACTGGCTTTCCATTTAACACCTAAATTTTTTATAATATGATCGAACCGATTGAAGGATTGACAAAAAAAATATATTATCTTGTGCAACTAAAATGACAAACATGCATCCTTAGTAAAACAACTTATATGAATCTGAAAGACAGAATTGATGATTGCCGATTGGACCATCATATAGGAAATTGTCTTCATATTGTCATTTTGCAAACCCTTCCAAATCTGCCTACCTCTTTAATGGCACTGTACTGTACATTAATCTGAATGTGTCTTATACAATCCACTATAGTCTATTAATCTATTCTCATTTTCATATACTTAATTGGAAATTCATTAATATTTTGGGACATAGTAAAACGTGGCTTTGGTTCTAAATAGCTAACGATTAGATTTGCAAGTTTACGGCTTAGTAAAATTATACAGTTATCATATAATTGCAAAATAATGCAGTTATCAGATAACTGTTTGTGAAAAATATTTGTATTTCATAATTGATTGGTAATATATTGTGCAGAACAAATGGAAGGTTCGTCTTCAGCTTACAAAGCCTGTCACTTGGCCTCCATTAGTTTGGGGTGTAGTTTGTGGTGCTGCTGCCTCTGGTACTAAATTCTATCAGTTAGCATAATATTAAAAATGTGATGGTCACAAAAAAGTTTGGTCCTGCATGTTTATGTGATAATTGTTCACACATGTTAAAGTTCTACATTTAATGCTCCATCCTTCATGGTACAGATTCATATATTTGATTTGAGACAACTTCTTGATGTTCTCAATCTACTATGATCTCTGGCAGGAAACTTCCATTGGAATTTTGAGGATGTTGCTAAATCAATTTTGTGCATGCTTATGTCTGGCCCATTCCTGACAGGATATACACAAGTACTATATTTTTGTTGATGTTAACTTTTGCCAGCTGCTATTGGATGGAATTATCACACTGAGATAACTTTAAATTATTTGACTGTTAATTTTTCAGACTATGAATGATTGGTATGACCGAGAAATTGATGCAATAAATGAACCTTATAGACCAATTCCTTCTGGGGCAATATCGGAGAATGAGGTATATTGCAAATCTGAATCTGTGATGTCTCTGTTGCTATTTAAATATGTTGAGTAAGAGGTAAATTGATTTTTAATTTTTTAAATTTAAAATTGATTTTTTAGTTGCTATAATATGAAAATAAAAAAAAGTTTATTTTAATCTCTTTACTCAAATTATTTGGTGGTCTGAGGAATTAAAACAAATTATTTGGTGGTCTGAGGAATTAAAACAAATTATTTGGTGGTCTGAGGAGTTAAAACAAATTATTTTTTTTTTCAAATTAAAAAAGACTAAAAACATCAAATTTAAAGTTGAGAGATAAAAATAAATTTACCTCAAATTTAAGAGAATAAAAAATATATTTGAGCCTTTTATTTTTATTGTTTCACCTTTTGCTCAAAAATCCTGCAGGTAATCACTCAAATATGGGTGTTGCTGCTTGGAGGTCTTTCAATAGCTGGTATATTGGACATATGGGTGGGTACAGTACAAAATAGTCTCATGATCCATCACTTCTGACTCTCAATTATCATAAGCTTGATTGGTACAAGTATTCTCCTTTACAGGCAGGGCATGATTTGCCTATAGTATTTTACCTTGCGGTTGGCGGAGCCCTACTGTCTTATATATATTCCGCACCTCCTTTAAAGGTAGTTTTCTAAAAATCTCTTGATTCTTTTGAATCTTTTCCTTATATTTTCCTTTTTGCCTATGATGATTATTTGACCAAGTTCTATATCTGTTTCTAGTTAAAACAAAATGGATGGATTGGAAACTTTGCCCTTGGAGCAAGTTACATTAGCTTACCATGGTGTGGTACCTTCTACTTTGACAAACTCTAATTGCTATAGATTTAAATTGTTATCCTGGTTGTGTGCACGTGTTTTTTTAGTTAACTCTCAGATTTGTTTTATCTACCGAGATAAATGAGTTGCTGAACAAGAATGATTCTTAGCTTTTATATGCAAGATGCATGGCATTATTACAATTTTTTTTTTATAAATATAACAAAAAATCTTAATAGGGTGGGCCATGGTGCACCAATAAGATTGCAGCTTTGTGACCTATCCCCAGATGTCACCAAATGGGAGCCTAGTGCACTATGCTGTCCAGACAAATGTTAACCACGCACTTTTTATAGCACATTCCTTTAAATACACTTTTTAGTAACTAAAATTTATAAAAACAATTTGTTGGTCCTATTTTTTATTTATTTATTTTTTTTACACCTGTTTCTTATTTAATGAACCCGTTCATGGTTTTATAGTTTTTAAGCAATTTTAACCAATAATAGTGTGTTAGAAAGAATATATTAGAGAGTAGTAGTATGGTGGTAATTGTTGTTGTTTTCCGAGAAGGCATTCTTCACAAGCTTCAATATTTTCCTTTAGGCTGGGTAGATCTCTCATCATACCTTTCTGATGTAGAAGCTTTAAGTCATAGAACAGACGTTACTCTTGATTATGCTCTTCGGCAAAATTTGCTTGATGTTTATTTTTGTTAGGACAGTACATCTCCACGTGATCGGGTTTATTGCAATAGTGACATATTGGGTTTTCACGATGCCAACAATTTTTTTCTGCATGTCCCGGCTTATTGTAAATATCACATGAAGGATATTTATCTTTTTTGTTTCCAGAGAAATTTCTAGAATCCTTGTTTCTAGAATATTCTCCAGCATTTTTCTTTCCTCCATCTTCTTTATTTCTAGATTGTAATTTAAGCTTTGATTGAAATGCATTTTCAACTAAATTTGTATCGACACGACTATTTAATCTTGCGCTCTGAGGAGACCAATTAATTTATTCACCGATAGAGAAGATGGATATGAGAAAGTTTCTATGGAAGTTACAATGGAATCATATTTTTCCGTGAGAGTGATAAGAATTTTTTTTACCACTCTCTTCTCCTTAATTTCTTTTCCATATAATTTTATTTTATTAACTATTTCTTTTATTCTTCCATAGTATTCTTCAATGGTCTCGGATTCCTTCATTTTAATGGTCTCAAATTCTCTTCTTAGCTAGTGTAGCTTGACAGAGCGTACTTGTTCACTGCCTTCAAATTCTTCCAAAATATCCTATGCCTTTTTTGCAGTATCGGCGTCCATGATCCTTCTAGCGATAGTTTCTCCCACAGCGTGTTGAAGAACAAACAGTGCTTGTGCATCCTTTTGTTCACAATCTTTTAACTTCTTCTGCTCCTCCTTAGACAGAGTGATAGTAATATCTGGTTTTGTATAACCAGATTGAACGATATCCCACAGTTTTTGTGAGATAAAATATGTCTTTAGTTTGAGCTTCCAAATATCAAAATTTTCACCTGTAAAAACTGGTAAAGGGACAGATGAAAAATTAACGGTATTGGAGGCCATGGATCAAAGAAAAATGTTTATAAGTATAGAAGGAAATTTTAGAAGTAATTAGGTGATTTTTCTACGCCCAGTAGATGATTGAACCAGGCTCTGATACCACTGTTAGTATATGATAGTTGTCAAAGGAATAGTTGGTGGAATAATAGAAAGTTATTTGTATTTAGAGAGTAGTAGTAGTGGTGGTAATTGTTGTTGTTACACTGAAATCCCAATTTGCCTATTTATAGGCATGGTATTCCATTTTTAGATGATAGTGGAAATATCTGGAATTTTCTAGACTCTTCAAGTCTCTACTCTTTTAGTTTTTTCTAGAGACTTATACAACTTTTCTTATGTTTCTAGAATTTTCTTTTTCTTTCTTATACATCTTTCTTATGTTTCTAGAATTTGCATCATAATTTAACATAGATATTGTTTTAAAGCAATTTTAATCAATAATAATATGTTAAAAAGAGTATATTAGAGTCAGTTCTATCAGCACTCCAACAACAATGAAGCCTTTTAAACACTTGATAGGAAGGGCTTGATGGAGCCCTTTTTATAATATACTAAAAAAATTTGCTTTTGGATAGGATTTTACTTTTGGAATGTGACAAGGGTTGCTATAAAAACATAAATGGGTTCAGCAACAGAAAATTACGATTAAACTGATCTTGTTTGATTTACTTATCAAGTTATTTTTTCTGGATTTGCTGTATTTCCTAAGATCTTGATCGATTTCTTATTGACAGGTGGGCTGGTCAAGCTTTGTTTGGGACTCTTACACCAGACATAATTGTTCTCACACTTCTGTACAGCATAGCTGGAGTACGTAATATATTCAATATGACATTCTGTTGGATTGACAATATTTCAAATGATAACTTAGACTGGTCATTAACATTGTTGCTGTATCACATTGCAGTTGGGAATTGCTATTGTCAATGACTTCAAAAGTATTGAAGGGGATAGAGCTCTAGGGCTTCAGGTTTACTGTATTATCCTTTGCCTTTGAGTAACAGTACTCTGAACCTTTCCATGTTTTAGAAATTATAATCATGCACAGTCATTGAAGTATCTTCTGCTGACTTTTCTATTGGCAACCTTGTTTGAGTAGTCTCTTCCAGTTGCTTTTGGTGCTGAAACTGCAAAATGGATATGTGTTGGTGCTATTGACATTACTCAATTATCTGTAGCTGGTAAATTTTCTTTTCTACAGACACTACTTTTCTTTTCGGTGCTAAGAATATTTGGAGATAGTGTATCATGTTTAACATGATTAATCTTCATCAGTAACCAATGCTTAATTTTATAACAAGCAATATAAATGGATTACATTCTAATGCAAAGAAATGAATTTACATTTATGGTTGCAGGATATCTACTTGGGGCTGATAAACCGTTCTATGCATTGGCTTTACTTGCCTTAATAATTCCACAAGTCGTATTTCAGGTAAAGCACACTTTTATATAAACATGCTAAAATATTTTTTACAATCACGTGACTGCTGCATGCTGAACCGTTCTTTCTATATCCAAATTTTACTGGCATCTAACTGGTTGGTATCATCTTATGTCTTGCAGTTCCAGTACTTCCTCAAGGACCCTGTGAAATATGATGTTAAATATCAGGTATATATTCACTACTTAAATTTAGCTTCTATGCATAGATGGTATCTTTTAGAGTAAAATATTCCAACTAAATCGATCATTTCTCATGTTTGCAGGCTAGTGCACAGCCATTTTTGGTGCTTGGTCTGTTGGTTACTGCTCTAGCAACTAGCCATTGATCTGTTACGTGCAAAAGTTACCAAAGGGACATCGACTCATAGAATAAAGACGAAGAAGGGAATCACCGATTAGAAGGATAAGAGTGGCTTCTGTTATGTACCTGCATTCAAGATATTATGTGACATAGCTTTTGTTTATTGCCACCCTACATGCAAAGAGTATGACCAAGGCTTACCCAGTATTGTGTATTATTTTTTTTTTCTTTATTCCTATGTTTCTGTTCTCTCCTCTTATCCACTTATTCAAGTTTTGATTGTTTTAGGATGAGAAGAGGTTTCTTTTTAGGAAGCTTTAAAGGACAATGAATTGTACAAAGTGTAGACACATACATTTCGTTAAATGGGACCCTTGTTTTGAGATGAAAACTTAAAATTATTGTCATTATTCTCTCCCACCACTCACCGTAGGTACATGTTATTTCGTTCATGACAGAATTCATTTAAGATAAATACCGATACAAATCATAAAATATCCATTCCACCACTCAGCCACGTACTTGTTTTCTTTCATGATACTTATCATTGAAGGTTAATTCATCACATTGATAAACTTACACACAACATTAACCATGTCTTAGTTGTGTAATATCTTGCATTGTAAATTCATGTTAGGTTCTATTTATCCTCCTTGTTCCGTATATTCGAAAGACAAACTTCCACAAGGCCACTCATAAAACTTGATAGAACTCTAAATGTTCATAGATAAGAGAACATTCACTGTTCAATGGAAAAGAGTCTCCGTTGACAGTTTTAACACTTCCTAAAAACAGACCACCATGGATGCATGCTGGACATGCTCCATCTCTTGCTTTAAGATAAAAACCACTACCTAAGGTTCCGAGACCTAAACATACCTACCATTCCCACCAAACAGGAGCATCAAAACACATACATTATAGTACTAGTCTCCTGCATATATTCACTACTGCTACTACTACATCGAAACACACATTAAAACAACTACAACCAAACACTACTTGATCACATATTTTAGTGCTTCTTAAACTTAGACTCATCAATATCTATGCCTTCCTCTTCAGCACGCTCTCCACCAGACTTATCCATAGTGCTGAGTCCTCCCTTGCGTCCCATCTCTTGGTACCCTTCTCTCCCCATCTGCTCCTTCCTTGTCTGCCCTCCTTTGCTCCCCATCTCATGGTACCCCTCTGACCCTAGCTGCTGCTTCCTTGTCTGCCCTCCACGGCTCCTTCCTACAAATCCATTAACATTGTAAAAACTCATTTTAACTTAAGGAAAATACTATCCAGTGCCCCTGTGTACTGGTTAAAGTTTTTAGTTTGCAACAAATTTTAATGTACTAGTTAAAGTTTCCAGCTTTCAGTGAAAATTTTCTGCATATTGATTCCTTAAGAACACTATGCCCTTAAGGTAAACACAAAAAATGCCCTGTGAAAAAAAGTTGACTATTAACAGTGTGTATTGTTGAGAGAGAGATTGCATGCATGCATGCCTTCAGCAAGATGTTCTTGAGCCTCAAGACTCTTCCCACCAGTGCCACCAGGAACCACAGTTTCACCTTGCCTTGCTTTCTCATCAAGTTCTTCACGGTTTGCTTGCTGAGATGCCATGCTATTATTCCTCTTGCAAGTTCGCGAGTAAAACAGTGTAAAGGAAAAACACTTGACGGTTAATGCTCACAAAACTGAGGGTAGAAAGGTTCTTTTTATAGTGTGTAAAAGTATGCATGTAAAGCAGTAAAAATATATAGCAATGGAAGAAAAGGCTAGAAAGTTAAGGAAACGTAAGTGTTGGCATGCAAGGATGCGTGGCTTTAGGAGAAAGAGGACACGCGTTTAGGTGAAACTGAAAATTGCATAGCATGACACATACGAGCCTTGGCAAGGTAATTGCGAAATAATAACGGTCGGTTGCGGTGTTCATTATTCGTTAAGTTTTTCTTGCAAACTAAATTGCGAAATGTAATTTACAAAATTCATGCAAAACAAAAAAAAAAAGTACAAAACAAATAGGTAAATGATAGTTTATATGTTAATGCCACTTTAAGTATATATTTGTCGAAAGATAAACAATCTCATTTTATAGCAAAGAAAATTTAAAATTTTAGATTTAAATATGAATAATTTTTCACTTAATTAACTTTATTTAATACTTTTAATTCAAAAGTACTTTAAGACAACAAATAAAAATAATATATATTTCAGTTTTTGTATTCTAAAAAATGGAGACTATCTATAGCTTAAAAGATGTACGTTAAATTTAACTTATTTGTTGAACTTAAAAAGAAAAATTCAATATATGAGTATTTTTGTAAAATAAAAATTAATGTTTGAAGTATAATAAATTGAATTTTATAGAAAGAATCAAACTAATTTAAAAATTTAGATTATGATAAGAGTGGAAGAGAGTATATTCTAAAATTATTAATTTTAGTTTTTCTGTATACATCTGTTAACATGTTTTAAAAAATTAGCTATCCAACACCAATCTATTAAATGTATTGAATCTTATTTACTGCACAATTATATTTCAAACTACTTTTTATTTAACAAAATTAGCTATCCAACTCCAATCTATTAAATGTGTTGAATCTTATTCACTGCATAATTATATTTCGAATTACTTTTTGTCTGGGAAAGGATCTACAGACAATAGAAGTAAGTCTTAGTCAATAATTAAACTTCATTCAATAATTCTGAATTTAATACATCTGAATATTAAATCATGTGATATTTTCTTGATATGATTATGCCAATCTAATTTTAAATAAAATCAACATTAATGGGTATGTCATTTTATAATAGTCATTTACTTGTATGTCAAAAATTATATTTAGCACTAAAAATTGATTGATGAAGTATAAGTAATTTTATAAATATGATCTATATATTTAATAAACAAGTTTAACTCAATATTTAGATTAAAAGTTCATTATCTATAAAAAAAATATTAAGAAATATGACACACAACAATTTGAACTACATTTTCTGACGTGTCTATTTCATTCCATTACATTATTTATTATATCTAAAAAAAATCATTTCTCTCTCCCTTTTTATGGTTGTACAAATTATTGTACAAGTAGTATTTCTCAAATATTAAAGAGAATAAGTTTAATAATATTTACCTTTTAAATAAGTGGATCCTCACCATTTTTTTATTTGATAAGGATATTTCCAATAGAAGCAACAATGAGTTACTTCATGCATTAAAAAATGAAAAACTATGGTTCTTAGTGTGCTATATCAGTATTAAGCAATTCAAACACAAACTTACTCTAATGGTAAGAAACTTTAAAAAATTTAACTTTTAGAAATTTTTTTTAATCATTTATGAACCAAATTTAAATTTTTATTAAAAAAGATAATTGCACTACAATGAAAGAAAATAAATTACAAGAAAAAATACACAATAAGTAGATATTAAAAATAAAATAAAGTAATAGTAAACATATAAACATTATACGAAATTAATTTTTATCATTATTATTTTCGAAAACGTTCATAAATTCAATAAGATCTGTTTGAAATCTGGTAAGGAATAGTTGCTTGAGAAAGCAACTCTCTCTTTTTCAAGTAACTCATATTGCCACGTCAGAGTCCTCCAATGACAAGAAACCGGGACTTGAATTGCTTCATGAGACAAGCAACTCCCATTAGAGTTGCTCTAAATTATTCTATTTCTTTTAAATTCCATTTTCATTGCTAATTTGACACAAATCTCATCTTTGTGTGTGCCTTGTATATTAATTCAATCATTGGGCCCTATCCTCATGAAATAATCAACTTGTCTATAAAAGATTCCGGCCTGTTTCTAGACATCAAAAAAAGAGTCCATATCCATAGAGATGTTCATGTTCTCTAGGTGTCCAAAGTTTGGTTTTCATGTGATTGAATCCGTGGTACATGATTTTTAAAAGTAACAAATAGTTGCTTTTGCAGTGAACTCATCATGATTTAATTTATTTGATCCTTTCAAAAATCATGGTGAATTTACAAACACATGAATCAATTGAGAAGCGATCGTATTTTATGGTGTGGTGTGGTTGACCAGACCATTTTATAAACAAATAATCCAGTTTAGTTTAAGCCTGGTTTCTATTTTTCTTATGCATTAAGTATGGTTTAATTTGGATTTTGGTTTGATTTGCTTTAAACGTTTTTTTTTTTTGCATAGCCTAATCCATCACATGACCCAATTTTCCCAAGTTTCACCAGTCCCTATGCATTTACATTTTATACACGGATGACTAGTGACATTAAAATTTGTTACGTTTTACACATTTAATGTTAGAATAGTGGATTAAGCCTAACTCAACCCTACAAAACCGGCTTGTAAGGTGAGGGTTGCTTTCCACTTATATACTATTCAATTGCCTAATCTCTAGTCGATGTGGGACTTGGGTTTTTCCCAATACACCCCCTCACGTCCAGCACTATTGGGCTTGGTACGTGGATAAATGGTGGGTGACCGTTTTTAATGATCTAGGATTGGCGGGACTTGGGTTTTTCCCAATACACTCCCTCATGCCTATGAGGCATGCATCAATGGTGGGTGACCCATTTTTAAAGTGGATCTAAATGGCTCTGATACCATCTTAGAATAGTGGATTAAAGCCTAACTCAACCCTACAAAACCGGCTTGTAAGGTGAGGGTTGCTTTCCACTTATATACTATTTAATTGCCTAATCTCTAGTCGATGTGGGACTTGGGTTTTTCCCAATACACCCCCCTCACGTACAACACTATTGGGCTTGGTAGGTGGATAAATGGTAGGTGACCCTTTTTAATGATCTAGGATTGGCGGGACTTAAATACACCCCCTCATGTCCATGGTGCATGTATCAATGAATGGTAGGTGGCCCATTTTTAAGAATCTAGGATAGCTCTGATACCATCTTAGAATAGTGGATTAAAGCCTAACTCAACCCTACAAAACCGGCTTATGAAGTGAGGGTTGCTTTCCACTTATATACTATTTAATTGCCTAATCTCTAGTCGATGTGGGACTTGGGTTTTTCCCAATACACCCCCCTCACGTACAACACTATTGGGCTTGGTAGGTGGATAAATGGTAGGTGACCCTTTTTAATGATCTAGGATTGGCGGGACTTGAATACACCCCCTCATGTCCATGGTGCATGTATCAATGAATGGTAGGTGGCCCATTTTTAAGAATCTAGGATAGCTCTGATACCATCTTAGAATAGTGGATTAAAGCCTAACTCAACCCTACAAAACCGGCTTATGAAGTGAGGGTTGCTTTCCACTTATATACTATTTAATTGCCTAATCTCTAGTCGATGTGGGACTTGGGTTTTTCCCAATACACCCCCCTCACGTACAACACTATTGGGCTTGGTAGGTGGATAAATGGTAGGTGACCCTTTTTAATGATCTAGGATTGGCGGGACTTAAATACACCCCCTCATGTCCATGGTGCATGTATCAATGAATGGTAGGTGGCCCATTTTTAAGAATCTAGGATAGCTCTGATACCATCTTAGAATAGTGGATTAAAGCCTAACTCAACCCTACAAAACCGGCTTATGAAGTGAGGGTTGCTTTCCACTTATATACTATTTAATTGCCTAATCTCTAGTCGATGTGGGACTTGGGTTTTTCCCAATACACCCCCCTCACGTACAACACTATTGGGCTTGGTAGGTGGATAAATGGTAGGTGACCCTTTTTAATGATCTAGGATTGGCGGGACTTAAATACACCCCCTCATGTCCATGGTGCATGTATCAATGAATGGTAGGTGACCCTTTTCTAATTGACGGGACTTGAAATACACCCCCTCATGCCCATGGTGCATGTATCAATGAATGGTGGGTGGCCCATTTTTAAGAATCTAGGATAGCTCTGATACCATCTTAGAATAGTGGATTAAGCCTAACTCAACCCTACAAAACCGGCTTGTAAGGTGAGGGTTGCTTTCCACTTATATACTATTTAATTGCCTAATCTTTAGTCGATGTGGGACTTGGGTTTTTTCCAATACACCCCCTCGTGCCTATGAGGCATGCATCAATGGTGGGTGACCCATTTTTAAAGTGGATCTAAATGCCTCTGATACCATCTTAGAATAGTGGATTAAAGCCTAACTCAACCCTACAAAACTGGCTTGTAAGGTGAGGGTTGCTTTCCACTATTCTAACATGGTATCAGAGCCATTTAGATCCACTTTAAAAATGGGTCACCCACCATTGATGCATGTCTCATAGGCGTGAGGGGGTGTATTGGGAAAAACTCAAGTCCTGCCAATCCTAGATCATTAAAAAGGGCCACCCATCATTTATCCACGTACCAAGCCCAATAGTGCTGGACGTGAGGGGGTGTATTGGGAAAAAACCCAAGTCCCACATCAACTAGAGATTAGGCAATTGAATAGTATATAAGTGGAAAGCAACCCTCACCTTACAAGCCGGTTTTGTAGGGTTGAGTTAGGCTTAAATCCACTATTCTAACATTTAACAAATATACCGATTATTATAGATAGTGAATTAGATATAAGATTAAGTTATTAAATTTACATAAATTTAAGTTATAATTATTTAATGTAATTTTGATACTAAATAAATTTCTAATAAAAATATTCAAAAATTGATTCATTAAATTTTCTCATGCAAATTGTATTAAATTCTCATCTAATTAATATTAAAATTTTACATTTAATTCGACAATACTTAGTTATATTTA